CCGCTGCATACGCACTGTGTTCTGGCAGTAGCTGTAGTCGCCCATGTGCATCGAGTGTACGAAGTGGTCAGTTATACGTCAAATACTAACCTGGCGAGTTTGGTCGTAAATCAGAGAGCGCCTCAGCCTACGCCTGTAGTACATATGTACAAACATTTTTGTCTCGATACATGATAAATAGATACTTTACCTTAAATATTGTGATAACAATTGATATTTATTCATTAATGTTGATGCTAAAACAACAAATGATTAGGGATAATTGTTTTCGAATGTACGGTTATTACAATTTATAATTTTTAATATTAATAACGTTTTCACGATTTATAATTTATTATGTTAAATAATACACAGTTTCAGGATCATGTTCAATTTATTATTATACACTTTGGTGTAACCTAGGTAGGTACTTATTGTTTTTGAAAAAGTAATATGTTTTTTATCTGTTTAAAATGCCAGCACGAGTAAAACAGCATTCATCCGTCCAGAGCACTTGGTTAATAAAGTTAGGTTCTGCTGCACTTCGATTTAGGAACCAATTGCAAAATTCAAGACGATCGGAGAAATCAGCTGCTTCTAAAGCTTGAACTTAGCAACGCTTTTCGTTTCAGCTGAACGACTGATTCGTGATATTAGGTTACAAAATTTTCGGAGCATCCTGGCATCTGGCAGGGCGGCCCTCCTAGCCGGAGTTATGGGTTGATTTCCTTCATTTTTAAAAGTCGAGTAAAAATTTTTTTTCCGACATTCTGTCTTTATTAGGCCTTCCGAATACGTGGTTAAAATTAATGACATTATGACTGATTCACCCTGTATTTAGTTCAATTATCTAAATCGATGTCTGCAACTTTTGTGTTAAAAAAATTAATAAGAAACCAATATTCTAGGATTAGTATAGCCTGCCAAAAGAAATCGGTACAATGATGCCTTGTTCAAGCGCCGCACAAGAAATAATTTTACATTTCTCCCTTAATTCTATTTCCAGTGCGATGTTTCTCCAAGCATCAACTCTGTGGAACTTACTAGGCATAACGACGGCCTTGTTGGCCGTAGCTTACGCCTATACCAAGTGGTGCTTTCAGTACTGGAAGAAGAGGAATGTGCCTTACATTGAACCCACCATACCCTTCGGTAACTTGGGCAGTCCGCTGAAAGAGAATGTGGATGAAAGCATGGCCCAGATGTACAAAAAGGCGAAAGTGAAAGGTGTGTAAATGCAACAGCAAAGACGACAATCACTAGAGGATTAAAAAGTGCAATCTAAATGTATCTTTGATAAAAGTTTTATAACAACAGAGTCATTTACATTTGAAGCTAATCAGATTTCCGATGGGTTTCCTGTAATTGACAAACATACACCCCTGTGGAAGTAACCATTGCCAGCTTGCTGTCGTTCAGTTCTAGTGCTGGAGTTTTGTTGTTTGAATGTTTGGTGGATTGGTATTATGAGTTTTTATATATTTTAACATCTGTTCTTGCTAGGTTGGAAATACTGTGGAATGTATATTTCGCTGTCCCCTAACTTATTGGTACTGGATCTGGAGATGATAAAGAACATCCTAACGAAGGATTTCCAGTACTTCATGGACAGAGGAACTTACACGAACGAAAAGGACGATCCCGTCGGTATGACAGATCTCTACTAAAAGAATTTGTTTGTTCTGTGGTAAACAACCGTTCTTGCAGGTTGTCACCTGTTCAACCTCACCGGTTCCAGGTGGAGGAATCTAAGGGCCAAATTGTCGCCGACATTCACCTCTGGCAAGTTGAAGGCGATGTTCCAGACTTTGGTGGACTGCGGTTTGGTTCTCGAGAACTATATCGAGAGTAAAATTAAACCGGACGAAGCCGTCGACATTAAGGAGCTTCTAGGTACGTAAAAATGTTACAGAAAAGAGTAATGCATTTTTTTGTCATTACTTTTATACAGGGTGTTCTCAAAGTTGAATCATTTATTTTAACAGCTGGTAGAACTCGTAAAAAAAGTCGATTTACCAAAAATCGTTTATATAAAGGTTGTGAAATAAAGCAATTATTAACAATTATTTAAAAAAATTGAAATTTGAAAACTTTATAAGTGTTAATTTCGACCATTGCGTTGTAAAAACATGAATTGTTTGTTTACTACTGATACTGGGTATGTCTTTATTTTGTAGTTCCAGTGAAAAGCCTTTTCTTTACTTTGACCTTGAAATGATCTTGACTTGACCTAAATGTGACCTTGTGGGGATAAGCTATCCCCAAATTCAGTTCTCCCCCAAAAAAAACTTATACGAGTATACGCACTGGTTTAATTCAATACAAGCCTTTTCTTTAGTTTCATCTTGAATTGACCTTGAATTGACTTGAAGGTGACCTTTAGGGTTACGCTATCTCCAGATTCAGATTCTGCGAGCCCAAAAATCTATACACTCACTGGTCAAAATTCAATACAAGTCTTTTCTTCAGTTTGCCCTGAAACGACCTTTACCTGACCTCCAGGTGACCTTAGATAGCTAAGCTATCCAATGCTTTTGGGATCCCAGGTTCAGCAATCCCAAAAGCTTTGTACCTACTGGTTAAAATTCATTACATGCCTCAGTTTTTGAATCCATCAACTTGAAACTTCGTGAAGCTTACTCAGTCCTACTGCCAAAATCACACTTTCCCCCTCTATATCTCTGAAACTATCCATAGGATCACTTTGGGCCTGTGACAACTTTTGATCAGAATGTCGAGAACTATAACATATCACAGTTCCAACCAAATCTAACTAGACCCAGTATCCATTTATTTTGTGCGGGGTCCTTTAGTTATAAGACTCCTTGACACAAGGTATTTAAAGGAACAACGAGGAGGTCGCGCTAGAAGACTTACACGCGAAATGGTGGAGATCGAGGAAGAAATTGTCGAAAATGACCCAACAACGAGCACTAGGTCCATGTTAGTAAACAAACAATTTATGCTTTTACAACGCAGTGGTCGAAAATGATAATAAATCAGGTTTGTATTATAAAGTTTTTAAATTTCAATTTTTTTAAATAATTGTTAATAATTGCTTTATTAGACAAGTTTATATAAACGATTTTCGGTAAATCGATTTTTTTTACGAGTTCTACCAGCTCTTTAAATAAATGACTCAACTTTGAGAACACCCTAATTTTGATTGCTATAGAGAAAGGAAGAGAAAATGCTGTTGAAGAAAAGAGTTTTTGCACTATCCAAAGAATGTTCTTTAACGCTTGTTGTCACTGTTAAATATGCATGAAATGTGTAAAGGTACAATTTTTTTTGAGAAATGTGGCTTCGCTTCCCGAGTTTTCCTCGACAATGTCGAAGCGAGTTTGCAACTGTATCGGGGTGTTTCAGTTCGGGTGAATCAAACTTTAACCACAAACGGAATAATTCAGAATTGCCTTATAAGACAAAGGTCTAAGTGTCACCGTTTTCAGTGTACAGGGCCGTATTGGTCGGTTTTTAAAATCAGATTATTAGAAAATTTTTGATATACTTATAACAAATTGATTCAAATTTGGTGTGGTGTTAACATTTGCACATGTGCATAATTTATTGTAAAATTTATAAATTTTTGTAGATCAGTGACGTAGGAATTGGTAGTAAAGCGTGATTTTTTTACCCCAACTTCTACGCCAATGACCTAATAATCATTTGGGATTAATTTTTAGATTCCGTGAACAATTCTTCATAAAAAGGTATACTTGTTGAAAATCGGTTTTCCCGAAAATCTCCCTGTCAGTTGAATGGGTTCTTCTGATAAGAAATACTTGAATATTCATCCATTTTTTACAAAGACCAAAAACTGGGTCGACTATTGGATAGCCTCAAAAAATGTGTCGTTTTTCGGACGTTAAATTAAAATGCTACCAGAAAAATGGAAAAAAGTAGTAGCTAGCGATGGACATTTCAGTGACATGTTTCTTACTATTTTTTTTAAATAGAGCATTAATTTTCTCAAGAAGACAGCAAGAACTTAGTCAACATCCGATTGTGATACAAGAACCGTTTATGCAGTTTGTCCTAAACATAAGACAGAATTTATCAAAAAATCACATACGTACATTCTCAATAAAAAAATGAAAATACAATTTTTCTTAATCCAAAAAATATCCCTTTTTAGAAACTGTCTCATCAATTTACATATTGAAGGACAATTTTTTTTGAGAATTTTTTGAAGAAAAAAACGCCAATCAAAAAGCATTTTTTTGGTTTAAAAATAAAAAAACTCCAAAAACTAAAAATTTATTATTTTCATGTCATTTTTATTATAAAACTACATCTCATATCGAAAAAAATGAAAAAAGTTTATATCTATAGTTTTTTGCCAAATTACAGGAATTTGAATTTTTTTCACCCAAAATATTCAATTGTTCATAACTTCCTGAAGGGTCGAAATAAAAGTTAGTAAAAACATAGAAACAGGTAAATTAAAAACGGTCGGGTCACGACTTCAGTGCAAAGGTTCCTTTCATTAATCGCACTTTACCNAACTTTCCAACAACACCCAGAAAGAAAACACAGTCGTCAGTCGTCACCTCCATTCGCTCCAAGTCAGTTTATTAAAGGATCACGCGCGCGTTATCGTTCGGCTTATTAGCTAAACAGTAGGCAAGATGGTGCAGGGGGAGGGTCGGCGATCGCATCAAGCGAAGCGAGGCGCTTGAATTTTATTCTCGCGTCTCAACAAAAATATTAGTCCTCATAAATATTAACCTTTTTGAAATTAACAATGGATATTGAGCTTACAATAATTCATAGAAACACACGTTTACTAACGCACGCGCATTGACAATAGCGAACGAAATAATCTATCTTTGTCATAGGCATACTAAGTTGTCCATTCCACGATTTCGGTACCATGGTGCGACAAAGCGAACGTGATTTTTTTGTCCTTGTCTTGCCAGTGTCGTAGGAGCTAAATAAAATTCAGAAGATAAAAAGGTAAATAAATTTGTAGCTGTCTAAGAAACCAACGTAAAAAAAATTCGAAAGCAACATTTCATTATTTTAAATAATCAATCGAATAGTATAGAAAAAACATTGTTTTAGTTTTGTTAAAACATTAAAATTAACGATTAAAAATTTGATTTTGTTATAACTTTCTTATTAAAAATTAAAAAATATATCTATTTCTCTGAAAAGAAAAGTTACATTTTTTAGAGCAGATTGAAAAAAAAAATTACAAAATTCATTCATTTTTCTGTTATGATTTTTTTAAATTTCTGAAATCTTCCCTTAACTTCTAGCCTCCCTAACTCTGTTAATTTTAATAGTACAAGAAAAAGCCAAAAGACCATTTTTATGTAGAATTGTATGCTTTACAACTTTTATGAAAAACTTTTTTTTCTAGCCCTTACCCTTTTTGAGTTATCATGAAAAACCATTTGGTTTTATCTTTTTTTCACCCTTGGCCGGGGGTTGAACAAAAAATTACTCTCACTTATTGTTATAGTATACCTAAAACTAACTCATATCAAAAATTCAGCCAAGTTGACCAAATTTCGATTTAAAGGCTTATTTAATTTGACTACTACTAGATAATGTATCAATGGAAATTAAAAAAAACACAACTTGAAATAAAATGTGTTTTATTTTTTTCTTCAAAAACGGTGCATCCTACGAAAAAAATTTAAAAGACCAATTTCGTTCAGAATTGATGGCGGATTTTTAAAGAAATATCAAAATGGGAAAAAGTCGGTGGCGTACCAGTTTTTTTATTAAAAATGTTGGTGGCATCTCGCACGAACGCCACTGGTGCAAGTAGAAATATTCGGATCACCCCAAAAATGCTCATTTATTACTCCAAAATATTTTTAAAATTTCGAGTCAATATCTTTAAAACTAAGAATTAATAAAAATAAATCAAAAATTAAAATTTAAACACTTTGTATGTCGGACACGAGGCATATTTCGACCTATGTCTATATGAACTTTTTTTCAGAAAATAACTTCGGCAACTGCCCCCTAAAATATTTCGCACTTATTTACAAACACCTACCTATATTACTTTTATACAGGGTGTTCTCAAAGTTGAATCATTTATTTTAACAGCTGGTAGAACTCGTAAAAAAAGTCGATTTACCAAAAATCGTTTATA